GTCAGAAAATTAATCCCGCAAATGAGACAAAGGATTGTTCTGAAATACAGGCTGTGTATACCTGGAGTATATTTCAGGCCTGATGCACAATATAGTATCATTTATTTAGTACTGCTATATGCCAAGCACTTAAAACACAGATTTCCAATTTCTACTACAACTCCAAGAAAAATATTATAATTCCTAATTTATAGGTGAGGGAACCAGCTAAGAAAAGGTAAGTGGTTTATTCTTACTCTCTGTCTACTGTTCTTAAGGATCATCTCTGCTATTTGAGCATTCAATATTGGCAGTTCCTCAATACAGTTAGACAATCCTCTGTATTCATTCCCTATGGGATTTGATGTTGCCATCTCGATTTCATCATCTTCTAAATATATTATCTCCAACTCAGACCTCTGCTGAGGACCTGTAACTGCCTACTTGACATTTCCACTTCAACTCAAAAACTAAAGTTATAATTGTTACTCCCCAACTCCAAACCTGGCGGATTTCTAATGCTCTATCTCTCATGAAGAAGAGAGATAGAGCTTTGTCACTGATGAAGCTGAATAAGCTAGAATCCTAGGAGCTATCTTTCCTATCTCACTCATTATCTTCACCTCCCATATGCAGCATATCATCAAATCCTATGGATTTTAAGTATGTCTCAAATCCATCCCATTCTCCATTGCCACCATTCTCCCTCCCTACTCCAAATGCTCCAAGCTTTCATCATGGTTCACTTAAGACTACTGTAATATACTAACTGGTCTTCCATATCCTCTCTAGCACTCACTCAACCCATTTTCCATACTGTAACCAAGTGATCTCAAGAAACAAAATCACTCACTTTCTAGTTGCAAATTATTCTTAGGCTAAATTCCTAACATTGCTAACAGGTCTCAGAGTCTGGTCCCTACTTTAAGTCTCTCTTTATACTACTGTCTCCTCTAGAAAGTCAGCCAATTATATGGCAGCTGGAAAAATCCAGCCTGCCACCTGTTTTTGAAAATAGTTTTATTAGAACACATCTATGCTTATTAGCTTACATACTGTCCATGGCTGCTTTTGCACTACAACAGATTTGACCAGTTACAACAGACACTGTATGTATAAAGCCTAAAATAGTTACTATCTAGCCCTTTACAGAAAGTTTACCAATGCCTGCCCTATATCAATGGTCAAACACACTGACTTGTTTTAAGAATACACTATGTTCCTTCCCACCACATGCACATGCTATTTATTCAGCATTACTCTCCATTTCACCCCACCATTCCCCTAGTTAACTCATATTTACCTATCAGATCTAACTAAAAATGACACTTTCCAAGAATGCCTTTCCTTATCATTTAGACCAGCACATCCCAATTCAGCCTGGTTACATTTCAAGTGTTAAACAGCCTCAAGTGGCTATTGTGTTGGAAGGACAGCCCTAAACCAGAGGTCTATTTCTGGATTCTCTATTCTATTGGCCAATGTGCCTATTCCTGCACCAGTAAAACACTGTCTTAAAAAATACTAAAGTTTTATTTTATAAGATAGAACAAGCACACACACCACCACCATAGCCATTCTACCCTGCCTTTCTTCTTCACAAGTATCCAGGCTATTCTAAGTCCTCTACTCTTCCATATAGATCAGAATCATTGTGTGAAATTTCTGAAAATCTCGAGACTTCCAATGAAACAATATTGAATCCAGAGCTCAGCATGAAGAATATGGGCTTCTCTACGATATGCCATATTCATGGACAGAAAAGCAATAACTCTGAAATTTACTTAGGTCTTTTTAACGTCTTTCAATGAAGTTTTTTATACTTTTCCATATGGAGGTTTTACATGTTATGATTATTTTTAATGACTTAATAATCTGCAAAGCTTTTGTAAATGATGTCTTCTCTATTTACTTTTTTCTTGTTATTTGTTGCTGATGTACAAAGAGATGAAATTGAATTTTGATTACTGATTTTATATTAAGCTACTCTGCTAATCCTATTAATACTAACAATTTACCTATCGATCCTTTTTGGCTTTTATATTGATAATCATATGAGCCAGAAATAACAATTTTGTTTCCTCCTTTCCAACACTTACACTTTTACTTTCTTTTTCTTGTCTTATTGCTTTAACTAGGATCTCCATCTAACACTGAATAGAGTGGTGATAGTGTGGACCTGTCTTGTTCCTGATTGAAAAGGGAATGTACTCCTCCATGTAGGATGACAGATGACTTTTATTATAAATTGTGCTTGTTTGTGTGTTTGTAGATATCTTTTTTTCACATTAAGAAAGTTCTCATCTGTTCCTAATTTATTAGTTTTCCCATTTGTTAAATTTTATCAAGTGCTTTTTCTGCATCTATTGCCACAGTAGTATTTTTTCTCCTTTAGTTTGTTTATGGAGTATACTACATGTACAGATTTTCTATTAAGCCATCCTTTGCACATGTGGTATAAACCAAATGTGGACGTAGTTTTCCTTCTATATATTGTTGAGGTTTTTTGTTATTATAGGTCTAAAATTCCTCACCTAAAACTCTTGGAGCAAGGTATCTTTCAGAATTCAAACTTTTTAATCTCTAGCAGCAATGTATGGTACACAAAGTATATTATGTAACAACCTCAGCACCTAGTATTCAAACACATTAATATTTTCATAGTGAACTACATGGATATTCACTTTAAATAACAGTGATTATAAGCAGACTCTCATCTGTTCAAGTCAGGATTTGCCACCAATGAGAATAGGTCGAATCAGGTTGTGTTGCCAAGTTCTGAAACTTTTGGTGTTCAGAGGTTAATCAATTTCAAAATAGCAGTTAAGAGCCTGGTCTGCGGACCTGTAATTCATTTAAGATTTTTGCATGTACCCTCATGAGTAAAATGGGACTGTAATTTTCCTTTCTTACACCATCCTTGTCTGGTTCTAGAATTAAGGATAGAATAAATTGAAGAACGTATTTCTTTGCTTTCTATTCTCTGGAACAATTTATACAACATTGGAATGACCTCTTCCTTGAAAAGTCTTCTGTAAAATTATCCCAGTCTAGTATTTCCTTGGTTGGAAAATTTACTACTTCACTATTTAATAATTACAGGATTATTCAAAGCTTTCTTGTTTAGGTAAATTATTTTTCTAGAAGTTGGTTTATTTTCTTTAAGCTTTCAAATCTGTTGAAATAAAATTGTTGACAGTATTCTCTATTATCTTTTAAATCTGATCTATCTGTAACTATGTCCTCCTTTTCATTCATAATACTTATTTTTGCCTTCTCTTTTTCTCACCAATGTTGCCAGAGGTTTGTCTATTCTATTTTTCCAGTCTTTTCAAAAAGTCAACATTTAGCTTGGTTGATTTCTCTTGTGGTCTCTATACCTCTATCACTTTACAACAAAATGCCTACATTTGCCTCTTGACTAAAAGTATAAAATTATACTAAGAGTATAATTTGAAAGACTATGCATCAATATGAAAAATATATACTACTATTAAAGAGAATGCTTCTGTTCTTAAGGAATATACAATGAAATATTTAATGACAAAAAGAGTATAATGTCTCCAACTTAATCTCAAAGGGCTTAAAAAAAACCCCACACATACATAAACTGCTCATACAGGTGAAGCAAAACATAAACAATTGGTAAATCTGGGTAAACGACTATATAGATGTTCCTTTTACTATTCTTGTAACTATTATCTACGTTGAAAGTATTTCAAAATAAAAAGTTGCCAAAGCCATTAGGGTTGTGAACAAAAGTGGAAAAATAACATACTCAAAAATAAAAGCAATTTAAAAATGGAAGGACTGTGATGTTTTAGTATAAGCAAATTGAGAAAAATATTGAGGTCTTTTGGCATTGATAAATGTATAGATGGGACTAGTGATAATAGGGTGAACGTAAAGAGATGCCAAAGATATTCACTGCTGGTAGTGTGTGCTTTAAGTTAAGAGTATGTGCTGTAAGTCTAACTGAGTCTTTAAAAAGTTTACATGCCTAGTCTAGAGTTAGTTAATGATAAAATAAGCTAGCTAAGGACAAAATAAAAAAATACTATAATTTAAACTTAGAAAATAAAATGGAGTCTATCCAACTATAATGGGCAGTTACTATATGTAGGAAATCTACCTAGAATAAGCTTATTCAAAATATCTCTATCTGCAATTGGGGCTGATAAACAGCAGTCAGCTATAGAAAATATGTATTGATAATTCATAAGACTATGGACTTAACTGATGAAGAAATCATCAATATACTAGAATAAAGGCTCATTCAATGCTATCTTAAGACCGAAAAAATCCGAGAATAAAATTTTGCGTGCAATCTAGTGTCAAAGAGTACTAGAAGTGAAGCTGCTAAAAATACCACTGTGAAAAGATCTAATAAAAATAAAAATTATTAAGTACAACTTTAACAGCATACATATTTAGGTTTCTTATGCTTAATACCATCACATGAATTATATCTATTGAAAATGTATAAGATGAAAGCATGCCATTTAGTCAGAATTCTACAATTCAAATTTCAGAAAGTACTCCATATGCCTTCAAGCAGTATACCACAATCCACAAAGAGGCTGCCTGGAAATGTTAATAAATATCCAAGAATGTAAATTGTTAGTTTTATTGCATTATTAATTCCCTGAGTGAGATAGGTATATCAAAGTAACACTGTAAAACTGGTAGGTCAGAAGGGAAAAACAGACACATAGCATGATTACAAACAGAAAAATTAACAAAATCACTTCATAATCTGGATATCTGTAAAAAGAATAAACATTCACCTAGAATTATGCTGAAGAGTATGAAATCAAATTTCTATCCCAAATAAAGCATAAATAAAATGCACTAAAGATAATTTATCTCCAGAAAATATTCAATTTAAAAAGAGCCACTAATTATATTTACTGAATAAGTCTAAGTTCTCACTGATGTCAAATCTATTACCTTAATAAATGTATTTTAAAAAATAAAAGCAAGCAACTTTGTAAACATCACAGACCATAAATCAAACTTACCTTTTTATCTTCTTTCACTTTATGGGTTTTCTTCTTCATCTTCTTATCATCTAACTCCTGGTCAGAAGTGATTGCAGGATTATCAATACCACCTTTCCAAGTTTCAACAGGAGAAAGAAGTGGGTCTTCTTCACTTCCACGATGTCTTCCTTTTCTTTTTGTTTTAGAAGTGGTGAAAGCCTCATCATCACTGGCATCTGAATGTGTTCTTCTATAGTATGACTTGGCTTTACTAAACAAGGTTTTAGATTTATATTTGTATTTTGAAGGCCTCCGTTCCCCATGACTTTTTGAGGTTCTATCAGAAAATCCATTTTCTTCATCTCCTTGGGTGTTATTTACAAATGAGTTTCGAATTTTAATGCGATTCTGACTATCATCTGGTGCAACATAAATCTCTTCAGAATAGCCCTTCTGTTTGTAAATTGTGTCAATGGGTTCCACATAGTTATCTGAAGGATCCATATCTTCAGGATGTGCCAAAGGAACCCGTGAAGTCTGTTTTCTTGGATTTTTACCAATACCAGCTTCGATTGTTTTTAAAAGGTTTGGATCCAGTTTTTTCACATTTGTCTTAGGTACAACTGGTTTAGGTTTAATGGGTGGAGGCACTTTATGGTTGCGTTCATGGTCATGACAGTTTGGGGTACTATGAACAGGATATTCATTTCCTTCCAAATCTAACCTATATCTGGAACGGTCACTAGGTGTTGGAAGCAACTGTACATCATCTCCAATTGGACTATAAGGAGGTGGTGCTTCTGTGTCATCATCTGAATCAGGGTAGTTGTTATAGGGAAAACAGTCTCTGGGAGATGGTAGAAAAACATCTTCACTTTGATGGGTTGATTCCCTTGTATTATCAGACAAATAGGAATTTTCTATCATATTTTTCTTCTCTAGAACATCACTGAAAAACAGAGTGAAGACCTCAGTTTGCCGATGATACTGAGATAAAGAATACAATGCCGTAAACTTGGCAGTGATCTCAGTTGCAATGTGTTCTCCTTCAGTCATTAACTCTTTAATAGCTTCATTTTCAAAAAAATCTGCTTGGCTGTCAGTAACTGCCACCAGTTGTACAGGAATGGTGTCTTGAACTTCTGATAGAAATGCTCGAAGCATTCCCATTGATGCTTTCCGTTTGGCAGAGTAAACTAAAATATACCCATGAACCAGTTCATCTTTCCTTACTCCAATTGAAGAATGGTAAGATAATATCGTGATCTGTATTCGTCTCCTCTTTTCACCAATGATTTTATCAAGCATTAGGGAATTATTCTGTCCAGCTTGAGCAGCACTGCAAGAATGAGAGTCAAGGAAGGGTGAAAGAATAAGATCCACACTAAATGGATCACCACACATGGCACACATGACAATTCTCAAGTCAGCTTCTGATACATCCTTATTGGTGGGAACTGGGCTCATCACATCCAAATTGTGTTTAACTGATTCCAATACTCCTCTTAGAGCTTGCTTTATCTGGGTTTCATTAAATTTACGAGGATATGTACCAGTAGGTACATCTACAAAAGGACACTGTAACTTATTTGCCAACTGCTGCCCTTGGTGCCTCAGAATTGGTAGATTCTTACTAATGGAATCTCTCTGATTAGCCAGAATTAATGTAAATGGAAGACTGGCCATGTATTTATCTTTTCTGATCTGTGAAGCTTCAGTTCTTATTTTTCCAATAAACTCCCCAATAAAATTCAGTGACTCAATAGAATTAAATACACAGAAGCACCCATGTGGTTTAAAGGCGGCAGTCCACAACTGACTCAAAAAGTAAGGCGATTTGGCATCAACCGGCCGAAGATCAAGTTCATAAATTTTTCCATCTAAGGCATACTCATCATCAGTGGATTGTGTCCTTATCTCATTTGCTAGTTCTTGGGCAAGGCCATCCTTCCCTAAAATAAAAAGGTTAACTTTATCTATATTGGTACTATCATGATACAACCGTAAGCGGCCATGATCCAACTGCAAAAGACTACTGGCAAGTAACTGTTCCACTTTAATATCTGTACAGTTTTGGCCACTAAGACATGTTTCTTTAGTTGGATGATAAACAAATCCTATGTGTTTAAGTAGAAGAGATTCCCTATCAGGTGCAAGTTTCTGTAAAGCTTTATATCTAGGTTCTTCACTCAGAACTGTATGAATTTCACTCATTTTGTCTGAACTAGGTGTTGCATTAAGATCTAAATCATAAAAAAGTTCAGAATGCTCAAAAAGCATTTCCTGAAACTCTTCTTTGGCTTTTTCAACTATTTCTCGCTGATGCCTACCATATACCTCTTTACTATCAGCTTCAGTGATATACTTGAATGCTTCATCCTCCATAACAAAGCACATAACTTCCTCCCACGGCTGCCCGGGTGAAATGAACTGAATTTTTTCCAAAGTCTTTTTGAATTTTTCCTTCATTTCTACCCTCCTCTTCTCTGATATTAGATGTTGTACATGGTTCTGATAGACTTTTTCAGCTTCTAAAGTGCTCAGGAGGTCAAATGGGATCCGTCTATCATTAATTTTATCTATATGGTCAGTTTCATCCCAAGGTGTTTTTTCTAGCACCACAAAACATAACTGGAAATCTGTTCTCTTTTCCATTAACTTCAAAGCTTCTGACCAATTCAAATGCTCAATCTCTTCTAGATTTGGCAAAAGAGTGTTAAAAGCTCTTGGTAAAGTATTTATATATTCTTCTCTCCTTTTTCTTATATGTTCCTGTTTAAGTTGTTCTATATGTTTGGAGAATGTATTTCTGGCCTTTCTTGTTCCCTCTAAGTTGATGTATTCTTCATAATCAGGATGATTTTTTAATTTATTACTAACAGTTTTCCAAGTTGCATGATAATCTCTCACAGTCTGCACAAGTTTTTCAAACTTATCTGTTGCTGTGACAACAAGTTGTCTCTGTGTTTTATAAGCATCCAGATAGGGAATAATTTTAGGCTTGCCACGAGTTTTATCCAACATTTGTACCAGTGCAGTGAAACATGTCTCAATGTTGACATTAAATCGAGCTGATGTTTCCACTACAAGAAGGTTCTTTTTGTTTGAAGCAAATGCCTGAACTTCTCTAAGATAATGATCCACACATTCATCACATTTAGTTGCTGCTATTATTACAGGTTTTTTTGATTTTGATAGCTGGACAAAAAGGTTATTCACAAATTTAAGTTGATCATCAAACTTCCTATTGCATCCCTGACTTACATCAATGCACAATAAAAATCCATCTACGTTGAGCTTCCCTTCAGGCATTTGCTTCTGTTCAAAGTCTTGCTCCAAGCCTAGCTGATCAGTGCAAATGTACATTAGTTTTTCTGCTGACTGCAATTTAGAGGCAGCTGCACGTTTTATATATGGTTGCAAATTCGTACTCCGATGAGGCAAGAAAGTCTGGTCATCAATGAACTCTGTTTGTTCAATGACATGAACTTTGCATTCTACTCCATCTTCACCATTTTGTGTTATGTCACCCCAGTACAAAAAGTGATCATTGTTTACTACTCGTCCTCCAAAGTCAATGGTGCTAAGCACAGAAGTATGCTCTGGATAATATTCATCTGCTTTTGAGCGTACAAATCTATTGCACAAACAAGACTTTCCAACTCCACAGTTACCTTTGTCTTTTTCAGTCCCAGAGAGTCCAACTACACTGATAGTATAGGATGGGGGACGAGGCTCTTTGTTTTTTGCCATCATAACTCTCTTCTCATGTCTCTACATTCATAAAGGTAACCAGACATACTTCTCATTCTGAAAATAAAATCATCTCAAAATACAGATCCCAAATTTCAGAACTGTATTTGGTTCTTTGTATTTCCCTCATTTCTGTGCAGAAAGGTCTTCAAGATCATACGGATCATCTTCCTAGAAAAGGGGAGAAAGAACAAATCTTAATCATAAATTACAATGAATTACACATATTAAAGATTTTCATAACAAATTACCATGCAAGTTAATAACAATGTTAATAATAGTGTTACATGCACTTTAAGAAATCATAGTTTATGATTTACTGTTATAAATGCAAGATGACTTCAAAATTTAAGGCAAACCTAACAATAATTAAATACAAAATCTAATGTACTAAATATAAAATCTAATGTAGTATCTCACAAACTTTAATATAAACTTCTATTAACCAAATGTGCATTTTGCCTCTAATTATTCCTTCTTATGAGTTTAAGGAAAAAACTAGTCCTTCCCGCTCCCTTAATTTTCCTGTCCTCTGTAATTGAAAGCTATGTTGATGATAACTAAAATTTACTTGTAGCCTTAGAAACTCCCTCACAACTTTTAAAAATACAAAACAACCTGCTTTCTATTACAGGGTTCCTCAAAACTTATTCCCTAAAACAGAATTTCATATGAATTTAACAAAATTTTAGAATTAAAAAAAATTTTTCAGTAAGTTTTAACACACTCTCGTGAAATCTATCAAATTTTATGTCCCATAACAACAAAGAACATTCCAATACTTAAACAGGGAAATAGAAATAAGTGGACAGTTATACGAATACTGACAAGATTTAAGTAGATCAGGGCTTCTCAAACTATCTAAGGTGAATGAGCAATTTTCATTTCAAATCTCTAAGAACTGAAATAAAAAAGTGTAATTATAAATGAAATTTTACAATATAAAATGAAATTTTTGTAAAATATAAACAAAACTTTTAAAAAGCCAAGCCTCAATTTTTTATTACATTCAAGAGACATAAAATTATTGCCAAATTATTTCTAAATGCTCTTAATTTCTGGATTTATCTCCTCCCAGAGTAGTTACGAAGAGCTCAAAGACCACCTTTTGTGTGGTGCCAAGCTAAAGCATTTTAAGATTATATATCTGAGACAACCTTTTAGAATTATTTGATATACTAGCACATTAGGTAACTTCTAAGAATTATAAGAAATTTAATTTTGATTATATTCAATGAATAGACAATGAATCAGTCTGTTTAAAAAGTTTTATTTGGAGTCTTCACATTCTTTTGAGGCTGAATTAAAAGCAATACATCACTTCTACTGCCTTAAAATTTTACAAGATAGGAAAAAAATCCACTAATGCATATCAACACATATAAATTTATCTTCAATCCGTACAAAATGAATATAAAGAACAAGAAAAAGAAATCTAAGAAAAGACCACCTCTGCCTGCACTCTCCTTGCCCCTGCCCCAAATACGTGGCTTGTCCACTGACCTACATTGCAAGTAAACATCTATTTCAATTATACTACATATGTGTTACACTAACTAATGGCAAAGACAAATTGTTCTTATAATTAAAATCTTGACCAATATTTCTTGTAAAATTGTAATATGTAATTTTTGAAAATAAAATTTCAGATTTATTCTTGTACTCTAGAATTTTCTTCCATCGGCCTCAACTAAATATTAATTTTATCAGCCATCTGATAGTCAAACAAAATATATATCAGGTTCATTTTCGTAATAAAAATATTACTACACTGAAGCAGCAACACGAGAAGTATAAATCACGTGTAAATAAAATCGATTTCAAAATCTGACCTGTCATTTACTAGTTGATGACAGCAGTAAAGCCCTGAACTTCTTAGACATGGTTCTCTCATCTATAAAATGGGACTGCATACCTACACAAATTTAAGAACTAAATCATTTTTTTAAATGTGAAGTGCCTAACAAAAGGGACTTGATAAATATTAGTTCCATTTCTTAATTTGATTCTTGGAGCCATGGGAAACTATTATGAAAAGTGATACAATCAGACTTGTTACTTAAAAATGATATGTAGCAGCATATCATGGTATATATATGGTAACAAGTACCAAAAAAAAATTAGAGAAATCTCATCCAATCCTATTTTTTTTATTAAGTACAATTCTTAAAAATCTTCATCTGGCCAAACTGAAAATTTGTACCTAGCATCAAGTTTAACATTCTTTACCTAAACTGTGTAAAAGAACAGTGTAAAAGAACAATCAGACTACTTTATTTATGGATATTTACAGAAAAGAAAACATTAACTGGATAACAAAGTTATACATAGTCATAAAAAGCAAAAATTAATATGTGAAAATAGCACAATGATTCCATAGCTCACAATTACAGAAAAAACTGAAAATAGAATACAAGATCTATTCTTTTTTAATAGAAAAGCAAAATCTTCAGATGATATACTTTATACATGAAAAAAAAACTTATTTAATGATTACTTTGGGAATTTTTACTTCAAGCAGTACAAACACTAAAATACATAATAAAATATAACTCTTTATAAAAGAAACATCTATTCTGAAAACTACAAGTAATTCAAAGATGTTTAAGACTACTGTCCCTTGCCTTCCAGTTTCAGAGACATAGATTGGTTAATAGAAAAGTAACACAATATAGTAAGGACCTAAGTACCATAGAAAATTTTCAACTACAAACCTAATCCTTACCATAACAGTCACATCTTTATTGATATCTCTTACATGTTTATCCAAAAAATATAATTCTGGATACTATTACTCATTGAAAGTTAAGACTCACTTTTGCTCTCCTATACCATAAACCCCAAATTACTGAGATATACTCTATACCTTTAGAAAGGTAGAGTAGAAGTGAAAACATCCTATGGTAAAATATGTTTTTAAAGTTCCAGAGTTCCAGAAAGAAAAGGGTCTTAAAATAAATGAAAAGTGAAGGCATTAAGTCATCACCCCTTTTACTGGTCACTGAAACTGGAAGGCTTTTTATCTGAGAAAGAAATAAAACTATTATATTGAGGTTAAATTTTGACATTAAGGTTTCAAGACTTCCTAATTAATTTGATAGTGGCAGTCTCTGAGTCACAAATATTAAAGGTTAAATTAAAAATAAAGTAGTTTTGTGTGACTTTTATGGTTCCACACCAATTCACAGTAAACCACCAATCGGATACAGTGAGGAACATCCATGTCCTTCTAACAATGCTATCGGGTAGACCACCTACTGGTATTCTGCAGTTGGCTACAAAACTTATGTCATTAGTCACCCACGATTTGGTGATTTTCAGTCTGTAGTAGAAAAATTCTTCCACCTAGAGATGGAAAGGGGATGTTGGACAAATAGTTGCCCTCTCCTCCCAACTTGCTCACCACAGCACTGTTTTCTTTATCTAATTTATAAGTTTCTTTAACTTAGAAGCTTTAGTTTTAAAAAAGTGTTTTCAAATTAAAAAAAAATTTTAAAAGCCTGAGAAATCCTAAACTAGAAAAAAACTGGTGTCACTTTGCCCTCAAAAGGATTTCACTATTTATTTGGATGACTGATATCACCACCTTAACGGAGAAACAGAGCTCATGAAGTTGCTGTAACAGGTTGTAAGGGAATTTCATTTGCAACACTGGATAAATTACATAGACATAAATTATCTACTGGCCCCTAACATCCAGATCAAAACCACCCTCCATTAACTATCTGAGGCAGCTTGTTTCTGGTGCTAAGAACAAAAAAAAAAAATATTCACCACAGATGAGGAACGGACCTCCTGTCCTAACAAAAGGGTCGAACAATTTTAAAAAAAGAAAAAAAAAAAAACCCTTCTATTTTTCATGCTTCCACTAATAAACTGATGGCCAATGTCTTTCAACTATATATGGGCTGTTTAATTTGAAAATTCCTTTTAAATATGGTTAATAGTAATACCTATTTGTGTCAATCATGCATATCTTTCCTACTTTTGACATAGCTTACTTTCACATAACTTGTTCTCATAACCATCTAGCATTACATTTTTACTGACAAAGGAACCAAGACAAAAGTAGCAATAACCTACTCAAAGTTATCAGGTTAGGATCAAAGTCTCCTCATGCCCAATCTTTTACTTTCTTAAGCAACAGTCCTGCTTTTAATGGTTTGTAATGCAGTCTCACTTTTACCTTTAAGATTATCTTATAAATTTTTATTTTGTATCAAGAAAATACTTACAGAATATATTCAGGTAAAACTGTCCTCCTACAATTGTCTGTCAAAATTAAGCTATCTCCCCAACTAAGTTTTCTAAGATATTTTACTAGACCAAACGTTACATGCTCCTTTTAATGGAGTTTTAGTAACATAAAGTGGCTTTCTGCAAATTAAAAAAAAAAAGTTCTAGAAGGAATTTAGCAAAATGAAAAAATAGATTCTTAGTAATTCAAGATTTAAACTAAAACTTCTGTACCTTTTCACAAAACTGTCACATGCACTAAAAAAAGGTATAATTTCTAAAACATTGTTTTTAAATTATTAATATTATACTGCCAGGAAATTCCTATTGGCCCTATCTTCAAACTATATCCATAATTCCCCAGTTTTCTCTACCTGCACTATTATAACACTGATCCCATTCATCGACATCTCTGACCCAACATTACTCCAAGGTCTTCTAAACTAACTTCCCTGCTTCCCTTTCCCCAGTCTAATTCATATCAGATCAGCCAGAGTATTCCTTTTTAAACATAAACCTGAGCCATGCCTGGTGGCTCACGTCTGTAATCTTACCACTCTGGGAGACCAATGCAGGAGGATAGCTTGAGCTCAGGAGTTTAAGACTAGCCTAAGCAAGAGTGAGACCCTGTCTCTACTAAAAATAGAAAAATTAGCTGGGCACAGTATGGCGTGGCTATAGTCCCAGCTACTTGGGAAGCTGAGGCAGGAGGATAGCTTGAGCCCAGGAGTTTGAGGTTGCAGTGAGCGAGGCTGACTCCACTGCACTCTA